TGCCTAATAATTATGCACACCTTGATATAGGGTGTTGATCTCCTTAGGCCACACCCTCCCTTATTACACAAATACACATCACCTGATATGCTTATGTCCAATAAGCATTCAGGTTTATACAGCTTGGAGGTGGAAAATACGCATAAAAATGACGATATGGTCAAAATACTCACTTGCATAATAATTGTGCACAGAGTGTACACGGTTTCTGGAAAGGGTGGGCTTTCCAGAACTACAACTAACTTCCAAGCTATTACATGAGCCCAACCCTTTCTGGCTGATACGCAGGATGATTCTGAAAAGTTTTACAAAAAGAAAGGCAAAACCCTTTTCCTGTCTGATTGCAAACCTTATTTTGTGAAGTCGGCTTTTCAGATGGCCTGAAATCTCAACAGTTTTGCTTTTGTCTATATCTTTTCTTTAAATAGCTTGTGAATTGCTGCTGCAACCAGAAAACCTGGTCTGCAAACCTTGTAAGTGGAACTGCAGTTTTAACATTGTCTCTACCAAGATTATATCAAGTTACAAAAAGCAATGTTCTTGAAGCAATAACTAATCATTGTCTAAATCTTTCTTCCTTGATAGTTTGGAAGCCAAGGAGCTTGAATGTTACCCAGCAAGGTTTTAATATGCATGTATCTTTTGACCATGCACCACATAACTTTGGATTCAGATATTATTACCTGCACTACAAACTCAAAACTGATGGACAGTTCAAACAGAAGATTTGTAAACAGGTTTGCTCATTATGGTTTACAATGCTGCATCTATGAAACGGTTATATATTAATTGCTATGTGGCAGTAAACCTCATTTCTAGGACATTCAGAGACCACCCCTAGCTCACCTGGGAAAAATAGGATTTGGTGAAAGATTCAGCTATGGTAGTGGAATGTCAGATACACTAACACCATAAAGAAGTTGGGAAGAGTTCTGATAGAGTAACTGAAATGGAGCAAAGATGTGGGCAAGTTCAAGATGGCAAAGAGGAGGTGTAACCTCCTGCTGAATGCTGATCCCCCTCATCCCCTAGGTGTTTCTTCAGTTTTATGACAGAGCCTTACATTAGCTCCAGATTTAGTGTGAAAAAAAAAATCCAGTCCTATTATATTCAGTGGGGCAGGTTATGTTTCTTAGAACTCTGTGGTCTAGCTGTCTTTCTTTTCTCCAGTGTTTTCCGTTCTTTGCATTTCTGAGTTGAACGTGTATTTAAAATGGTGGATATTCTACATATGAAGTAATGCTGTAGAGATGATCATTTCATATTGGCTGATTGTAGAGTGGAAGATAATGCAATATTTAAGCATTAGGTTAGAGCACTTGAAAGCACACACAGCACTCTTTTGATCAAGATTAGTTTATCACATGTAGGTAAAAGTTGCAATTATAGTTTTTGCAAGCACTGTTACTTTATTAAATTTTTATTTATTTCAACCTGAGAATAATAAACAATGTACTTTGGTTAAGGGTAGTTTGGAGTTAATGTGGTTTTCGGTGAAATATAATTCAAGAGCGACTGCAGTTTTCTCTCTCTCTCTTTTTTGGTTAAATGCTGATTGCATTCAGTGATATGCATTCGTTTGGGGAAACTGCTCCTTTGGCTATCTGATACAATTGGCTGTAGTCCAGGAAAGCCTATGAGAAAGAAAAGAGGCCTTGTCCTCTGTCTTGAGTATAGGTTCTGAATTCTTAACTGTTTTATGACTAGTGAGAGACTTTCATTAAAGTAAGAACTCCAAAGGCTTTTGGCTTAATGATTTATGTGCTTCATTTATGAATCTGTATCTTTAATTGCTTGGGAATTGATATGATTTTCAAAAGTGATAACCTTCTACTGAAAGTGTAGTTTCTCCTAACATGGAAAAGAGTTTATGAATGCAAAAAATATATAATTGTTTTGGTTTTCTCACAGGAAAAGAATACAGATGTAACAAGTTGTATTCTTCAGAATGTCTCACCTGGAGATTATATCATTGAGGTAATAAATTATTTGTAGTAGATAAAGATGAGAGTAATAGATTTTGTAAAATTAAAGCAGCCAACATTCTGTGCTACTTTTGAACCTGGGAGCATAGTTACTACTGTATCTTTGTTTTGCATGACTTCATGGTAGAATGTTCTCTATATAATCATTTCAAATCTTTGGCACTAGTAATCTGATCTCATGTGTTGGCCCAGATATCTTTAAAAAAATCACCTGAAATCTCACAATAGTGCTAACTTTCATGAGGTTACAGTGTTCCTACCCTGATTAGGGTGAGCTTTCAGCATTCTTGCACAAGACTGACAATCTCACAAAATTGTGATTATTTATACACATTTAGAATTTAGAATTTTATTGTAATTCAGCTTTCTTGAATTGTAGGGACTTGTTTCTGGAGGCAAGAGATACTCTTGCCAACTCTTGATATATAGAGTAACTTATTTGTAAAAGAACTTCAGCATCATAAAAAATGAAATTGCAAAATCAGCCATTCTTGATCCTCCTTTAGAATTTAAGTAAATTTTTAATTGAATCCTTGTTTACATGATTGTTTTGTGCAAGACGTGACATTGCCGGAAGATTAGAACCTTGACTGGCTGTTCAGATGGATAGACAGTTACATTAAATTCAGATCCATTAGGAGTTGGACTCCAGCTGGGCAAGTCTGGTTGCCCAGTGGGTTACCTGGGCTGAGTTTAAGTCTGTGACTTTCAATAGTGGATAGGATCCTCCAAACTGTATGTTAGACTATCTGTTTATTAGATCTAGGACTGGCAAGGCTGCTCGGAAGGTGATCTGTAGTTGGTTTCATTCAGTGGTGTTGGCTTCTTTGAGAGAGGAGGTGATGCCCTTATCCTAGAAGGATGTAGTGACACGTCCCCTCCTTAAGTGGTTGCCCTAGATCCAATGATTTTGGACAATTATCATCCTATCTCCAACCTTTTTTTTTTTTTTTCTTGTTGAGAATGCCAAGTATTTTGAAGCTATTCTTTCTGGAGCAAATCTGGACAAGTTCCCACATGCATAGTGGACTTAACATTTTTTTTGTTGTTTAATCAATACCACAGTGTTAAATCAGTTTTATCAAAAAGCAGAGGCCAGTTATTACAGGACAATCCATATGCAAATTAATCTATCCCTTAGTGAAAATTTCACTTATTCCTTGAAACTTAAGTACTAAACAATGATTTGCCATGCTTCTAAAATAAATACTGCCATATAACTTACTTTTGTTTTGCTTTGTCCTCAAGCTTGTTGACGATACCAACACCACAAGAAAAACAATGCACTATGCATTAAAGCCAGGTATAAATATCTTTAATAATTTTTTTAAATTGGCTTTTTAATATTTCCTAAAACAGCCATGAGTAGAATATATACATATGAAAAGAACTTTAGTGGACCCCTCTACTCTAAGCCTATGCTTTGAAAATGGTCATTTCATCTGGTCATTCTTTCAGCTCTTATTACTGATTCTTCCCCGTAGAATGAATGCTCTGCACTGCCAAACGGTGCTAATCACTTCTGAAGCTGGATGAGTGATGCATGTTAATTTCCTTACACTGAATCTGGTCGTTTTTATTTAAAATAAATGATGGGGAGATGGACAGAGTTAGTGCTCCAGGGTGGAGAGCATTTGCCGCAAGCTCTCTGGCATTCAAGAAATGGGAGAACCCCTGGTATTTTAGGTAATTGTATATTTATTTGACTTGTTCATATTACCACGTACCACAGGCTCTCATAAGTAAAAATTAAGACACTCCAAAATTAAAAGCCTTTCCCCAAAGTAATGGATTGTGGCCTTTTTATAGCCAACAGACTTGTTTGTCCCCTCAAGAGGGAGTAACTTCCAGAGACCTGTGGTGGGCTCTAGTTAAGGCTTCAGCCAAATTCCCGTGATTGTCGGAAGGCCATCTCAGAAGACCTCACTTCATGCTATTTAGTAGAGTAGTATCACAAAACCTAATTTGATTAAAAGAAGTTTGCCTTGCATGTTTCAGCAGTAGGAAGATGCAATGGTTATAATACCTCAGTTTAAGAAAAGCTAATTTAGGCCTTTTTCCTTGCTTTTTTCAAGTGCACTCCCCATGGGCAGGGCCAATAAGAGCAATAGCCATTACTGTGCCCTTGGTTGTCATCTCAGCATTTGCAACACTTTTTACAGTGATGTGTCGCAAAAAGCAACAAGGTAGGCATTTTGCTTCTGAATGACCTGAGGGGGAATGTCCCTAACAAGACTAGTCATGGAGAAATGAATTTGTTCAAAAGGTGGATGCCATTGTCAGAAGTCATCTTCTCCACCTAGTTTGTGCTGGAATTTCCAACCAGGCTGGAACTTGGTACTAAAGTTAATGTGCTTCTGTTTAGCAAGCTGCAGCCACATCTTGAGATCAGAATATTGTTATGCAGCAAGAAAGCAGTGACATTGTTGTGATCAGCTAGAGGCCTGCAGTTTACCTGGGTTTCTGGCTGTTAGAATTAATCTAATATATCCTAGAGCAGTGTTGTCCAAACTTGGCCACTTTAAGATGAGTGGAATCCTAACACCCCCAAAACACACCCCCCACCAGCCGGGCGTCGGGGGGAGTGGCGAGGGCGATGAACTCCCCCACTCATTGAAAAGTAACGGGGA